GCGGGGGTGGGGCGCCGTTGTTTGGCGCGGTTTCGGGGTGCGTTAGTAGCCGCTGTGGTCGGTGACTGTGTCGGTGGTGAGTTCGAAGGTGCGGAGGAGGTTCCTATGGAGACTGTGCTGAGGCACCTGAACGGCCTGGAGAACGACACCAAAGGAGACGGTTCGTAAATGCACCGTAGTAGAAATATCCTTGCGACATTTGAACAGAATAGACATAACATAAGTGCGATGTATGTATCATATGCACAGATTTTTTTTATTTACTTAATAAGTGACTGATTTTAATGGAAACTAGTTAACGTTTTGACTCCATTTCTTACTTTACTCTGTTGTGTTGTCTGTTTTGGTTTGCTTTACACAATAGCAATTTAAATATTTCTTGTAAATCACACAACATTTAATCAAAACTATACCCTGATGTTCATGAAATTACTTGGTGAATTTTAGATATTTCATAAAAAATGTTTTTTATGTTAGATATAGCTGTGTACACTACACACTTTGAGTACATTCTATAACTTCACATGTATGTGTTTATGTTTTTTAGCCACTCTTGAATACAGTGATGACACAGCAATGGCACGTTGTGTTGTGCAGTCTCTACTCACCCGAGGTGGCTTCGATGAGCAGGACATGGCTCACAGGTATTATTGTGGTACAAAAACACTACTGGCAAATGGAGTAAATGGGGGTTTGCTCTAAAAAATGTGATTAAACTTGTGTACACCTACAGCAAACCTTTACTTAATGTGAAAATTACACTTACTTACTTTTACAATTGAGACCTAGTCAAGCCTTGTCCTCCCTCTAGGTTTGCCAAAGAGTACAGTGCATCTCCTGGTCGTGGTTATGGTGCTGGAGTTATTCAGGTGCTTAAGAAGCTAGCATCACCTCACCTCAGTGACGTGTACCAGCCAGCTAGGGAACAATACAATGGTCGAGGCTCCTTTGGAAATGGGGGGGCCATGAGGGCAGCTCCCTTTGCTCTGGGTTTCCCAGAGCAGGCTAATGTTAAAAAGGTCAGTATTTGATGAGTAACTGTCATGTTCTTTGTAAGATGTATTAAAGATATTCTATCTGTATGAGGAGTACACATTGGTATTTATGACATAAGATATAAATAATATTTTTTGTAGATGTGAGCAGCTCTAAATACCTATATCTGTAATGACAAAGAGCAGATTAGAAATGGGTTTGTTCTGATGTTATTTTTTTATTAAATCTTCAGTGCAAGATTTAGCTTTTGTTGTGATAAAACGTATAAAGAAAAGGTGGACATTTTAAAACTAATTTCACAAATGTTTAAAACAGAACAAAATGCTACTCTTCATGAACATTGTTAAAACTTTCAAATCATCGTTTTTTATTCCTCAACAGTTTGCCCGTTTAGGTGCCATGCTGACTCACTCCTGCTCTCTGGGTTATAATGGTGCTTTGCTCCAAGCGTTAGCTGTGCACCTGTCCCTTCAGGGGGCACTAGAATTACCCCAACAGTTTATTAGCAAGCTAATCACAGAGATGGAGAACGTGGAGGAAGATGATGCAGCGCGCAGTGATGCTAGATTGTGAGTTCTACACAGACTTCAGTTTCTAATTTATCAGAGGCCCAATGTTGTCATGTCTGAATTTTAAATAATGAATTTTACACTAAAGTTTGACCAGTGTTGTTCACTATGTCTTACGTTTTATATGCAGCTTAAAGGAGGCAGACAAGCCATTCTGTGAACGCCTTTACAGAGTTAAAGACCTGATGGGTAGGAGCACGGTTAGCATAGAGGAGGTCATCTCTGAACTGGGTCAGTATCAGTTTCAGTATATAAATATATATATTCTTCGTAAACTCTCTTTCTCACATGTACACATTAAAATATGCATATTGAACAAAAATATTGTGACATGAAACTGCTTGGAAGGGAAAAAGGTGGAAAAGATATAAGGATGTGGTGTAGGCAGATGGAAGCAGATGATATGGTGTGGTAAGACCACGAATGGGAGCATTCATGTGAAGAAGGGAAAGAAAGAGGGTGAAGGGTTCATTAGTCTCATTGTTGTACAGAGAAACTTGCCCTTTACCTCAAGGTCATGCATCCAATATATAATAAGCACAGGAGAAATCCTTCTTCTATTATTTTACTAATGTATGTGTGTGTATTTTGTCTTAGGTAATGGAATTGCAGCCCTACACTCTGTACCCACTGCCATCTTCTGTGTCCTTCACTGCCTGGAACCCCGTGAATGCTTTCCCGAAAGCTACGGTGGTCTGGAAAGGACAATAGCATTTTGCCTCGCACTCGGAGGAGACACAGACACCATAGCCTGCATGGCTGGAGCCATCGCCGGGGCCCACTACGGCATCCAGGCCATTCCACAGTCCTGGATCAAGTGCTGTGAGGGTGCAGAAGATGCTGACGTGAGCGCAGGTCAACTTCACATGCTTTACCAACAGTTGTCACAGAGTGATAGTAGTGACATCAGGACAGGCGAGAAGAGCTATGGACTCTGGACTGAAAACAAATCTAATGGCGCAGAGAAGAAAAACGGCACACAGTGATTCCTTCCTAAGAAAATAAGGAATCATGTGATAGAATATTTGCCAAACCTTTTTACACTTTTTTTTTTAAATCAAAAGTAAATATCCACAAGCTCATGGTCATGTTGATCCTGGGGGATGTATCATGAGGGGCACCTGTGAAAATTATCCAATTTGACTATGTAAATTGATCTGGAAAATGTTATTTATTCTCTGCTGATATCTTTTGTTTGCCCATGTGGTAGTGACAAGTAGTACACCTATTATTGTTATAAAAGAAAAAAAAAAAAGAACAAGAGCTGTTAATGTCTTTCCTCAATTCCTGCAAATATAAGCAGGTTAGGTACACCTAAACAGGCCCAGGTTTTACCCTGGGTAAGTAAATTCTGAGTAAATTGAAACTAAAAGATCAATATATTACATCAAATATACTTTTTTTGTCATTTTTGTTTGGTGGTGGATTTTTGTAATGTAAAACATGCCATATGTTTGGGAAATACTGGTATATACTGTAGGTCTGGTTGTTTTTGTCCCCTGATACTACACTACCCTAAAAGCACTGACTCTGACTGTATACTTTGGCCAGCATCTCATGTTTTTTTAGTTCTTCAAAGCTATTATATACAATTAAGCTGATGAAGTATTTTAAGACTTTGTGTAGAATTTATTTCTGTTTGAGAACGGTTAGAAATATCTGGGAAATCTGGAAAACATTTAAAATCAAGGATGTCAAATAAATCAATGGCATTAGGGAAACTAACGAGAAACAAATAATTTCAATCATTTAAATAAAAAAAAAAATTAAAAACATTTTTTGGATTTATTTATTTATTCACCATCTACTGATTCATTCTGTGCAGTGTTGAGGCAAAGAGCTAGATCCAGTCCTGACATAAAGCCTAAAACCAGGTATACCATACAGAGAAGGATGTAATATGAGGCAGCAAGATGCAAGAAAAGATGGAAAAAGAAAGGAAACACTAATAAATGAGAAGTCTAACTATAGCAAATTGTATATGACAACACATTTCTGAGGAAACTGCATATGATTGGCAAATTCCATGGTGATATTGCAGAGCCTTCAGATCCTTCATTACAGCAGGTCATGAAATAACAGATGCAACCCTGCCCAATTCCACAATGCAATGGTATTGAATTGTAGCAGCTTCACAGAGTTTCTGAGAATTACGTTTTACATCAGGGTTACAGATACAGAGTTTGTATTACAGTAACATGTATACATTTATATCCAAACTGAACATCCTGACAACACGGAGTCAACTGTGTCTGATTTATTATACCATACTGCCAGTGTTACAAAGAAAGAAATGGTCAATACTGACATACCACAGTCTGATGAAGTCTGAGTTCAATGTAAACAACTGTTGAAGTAACTCTTGGAAATCATACATTTTTGTCAACTGGGCAGACTTCTAAAAACAGCTGAAGGAATACTGTCAACTTTGTCAACAGGTTGGGGCATAGCTTGTAATATATGAAAGGGATGTAGATAAGGATTCCACTCAAGATGAATAAAGTCACGTAAAGGTATTCAATCTGGGGATTATCTACGATGGGAGCCAGCACAAGAAATACTGCTGCTATGAGGACCAGGATCGGGAGTATAATGGGAACCTGTAGAGAAACAAAAAGACAAAAGTCTGTGCTAAAAATAATTAGAAAAAGAAAAATAATGTATGGAAGACACTGACCTTGTATGGCCTAGGGAGTTCTGGCTTCTTGATCTTGAGGTAGAGGAGTCCAGCGAGGGTGATGCCATAGAAAATCCAGGCTGTAAAACTGAAAATAAATGGATAATTATGTTAGGCCATCAAATGTGTTGAAAGGCAAATTGCAAGATTTGCTGTTACCTGAAAAAGTTGACGATAGTCTGAAAGTCACCGGGTATCAGTACCACCAGAGAAACAATGGTGGTGAAGATCAGTGCTGGAGATGGGGTCAGTCTGTGAATGTGAGCCATGGCTAGAATATCTGGCTAAAAAACAACACAACTTTGTGACAGTCTTCTATAAAACATATCTAACACCGGGATTCCCAAACTTTTTCATGCCACAACCCCCCTCCCCCAACCGCATTAGCTTCTGCCATGGGACCCTTTTGCAAATGAACACAAATCTAACACACCTTGTGTGCAACATTCGGACTTGAGTGAGTGCCAAAAAATCCCACACAGTTACTTCTATCGGAAACATTTTCTCATCTAACAAATCTTTATTTAAGCTTGATTGTAAATAGAGGCTGTAATTTATCTGCTGATGTCTGATAACATTTATGATTTTATCTTTTGCCGTTATCACTATCCTTGTCCTGAAATTCCCTTTTGGGATCAATAGGGTATCTATATAATTATTCATCTATTTATTATCATTAACTTTGTTCTGCAATTACGGCCCTTGTGGCTGGTGTTGTTGACATGATTGATTACTGATTGTTGCGAGTAGTGGAAATTTGATGTTGCTTCCGTATAGACATTTTATAACTGCTTTCATAAAAAGGTGTACTTCTTAATTATGTCCTTTTTGACAGGGGTATTCACTGACATCCAATTGTGAATGCCGTTGATGATATTTTCCCTCACACACACTCGTAATAATTCAAAAGACTCTTACCATGTGTCCTTCCCTGGCGGCGACAAAGCAAACGCGGCCTCCACTAAAGAAGGTCCCGTTCAGTGAACCAAAAGCGGACAATGCTGCAGCCACAGACATGATCCAACCCCAGCTGCCCAGCACCTTATTTCTGTAGAGTGAGGTGAAAATTCAAACCGTGTACAGGTGGTCCACGAATTTCATCGGAATTACGTTCCTACGGTGAGATGTAACTCAACTCTTACGTCCCTCACCTACGCTAATACGTCATAATTTAGGACAGCAGAAGAGTCAGACTTACGCCTGGGAGCCGCAATGAAGGGCAAAAAGTTAAAAACAAAACTAAAGAAAGCAAATGTTGCACAATTTAATGTATGGCGAACAAACGGCGAAAGTAAACAAAGTCGTTTTCCTCATAGAGCCGTCCCCCGATCGCCAACTAATTTACATTTACACTTATGCATTTAACAGACGCTTGATCGAACCAGGACAATGAAATACTGTAGGTCGAGGATGTCTTAAACCGAGGACAGCAGCACTCTAACTTACCCCCATGTGACTGCTACTGCACTGGAGGAAACGAGCTCCTTTGGTGTCATGACTGTCAGGTAGCTGACGTTCACCAGCAGATACAAGCCAGTCACCAGAGAAATAGCAATGATAACAGCCCGAGGAAGATTGACCTGGGACATAAACAAAAATAACAACAACAATCAATATCTACAGACCTGCATGAAACAAAGAAGGCATAAGGACTTTTGAGGGTTGTAAAAGTTGTGACATTCTCTGGACCTTGTTTTGAAGGAAAGCCTGTATTTGTACAATCAAGCTTGTGTTTAGGCCAGTCATTTATTAACAGCCATTGTTCTGGCTTTTCCCAGGCTTTTGTCTCGGCCTGCTCATGATGATGGGTCTCAATGTTATTGCTATTAGCCAGAGTAGAGGAACAATTAATTGTTTGAAATACCACAGTGATTCTACCGCAGTGATTCCCAACAACAGCAGTGTAATTTTAGAAAATTATCCAATTTTACCTAACTAATCTGAAACTAGAAACTTTAAACCCGAAGATCATTATATTTCCTTACATGTATTTTTGTGACATTTTTGTAAGGTGGTGGGCCGTGGAATTTCACTAATTTACAATATGGGCCGTGGCTCAAAAAAGGGTAGGAAAACATAGTTTACAGAATACTGTAACTATGCATAGCTACAAACATTACAGCATTATTTCTCAAAGTGTGAGTCGGGAACAGAGACATGAGAGGTGGGTCGCAACAAACAGGTGGACATTTTCAAGGTTCAAGTGATGATGGAACTGCACTTTCATTTTTTTTTCTTTTTTGGTTCATCATAAAATCTCAAGTTACTTCTTGTTAGTTCAATAACATTGAAAAAATGAATTTGTCAAGACTTTTGTTGGGGCAGCAGGAGCAGTCTAAGCTTTCAAAAATCCCCACTGTGAGAGGAATGACTAAAACGTTTGAGAACCACTGTATTACAGTTAGTTACAGTTGCTTCCTTGTTTTTGAAGCAAGTACTTATGGGAAAGATGACCTATAAACAGAGAATTTAACCACGGCCAGTAAATCATTTACTCTCTGTTTCTTCTTTATCATCATTATCCCAGGTTTCCAAAAGTTGTCTTTCCTGAAAACCACCCTAACATTCTTGACTCTTATCTAAATTACTGTGTCTACACCTTCTGATTAAACATTAGTTAGACTGGAGAGGCACATCAGTGGCAGCCATGTGTGGTGTGGTTCATGCCTGTTAAGGCACTGGATGTACAAAGATATGAACCCAAAATAAAAAACTTATGTTTCAATTTTGACCTTAATGGTAACATTTACCCTAAAATTCAAAATATAAGTGCACTGGAATACAAGGCGCAGGCTATTTTTTAGGGTCTCAAACTGGAAACAAACAAGGTTTTCTATTGTTATTTGTTAAGGTGACATATTATGCCCCTTTTCTGCTCATTAAATCAGTTCTTCTAACATTCCTGTAAATGCCTGGAACATGCTTTGGTCAAAATATGCTCATACATTATTCCAAAATTTGGAGCGAGCAAATATGAACATACGCTGGAATCATGTGCATCTGACAACAGTAGGCACAGTAGGCACACAACAGTAAAATAGTGTGGTAGGTAAAATTGAGCAGGCCTAGAGCAAATCATATACGTATAGTGTATGGTTACATAGCGTGTATGTAAAGTGGACAGTTGATGCTCTGTGAGCAGGAAGTCACTCACAGGAGTGTCACATTACTGTTTATACTTGTTCAATAGAAAACACAACATGTAGAGAAATTAAGAATCTCAGAATTGAAGGAATCACTTGAAGAGTAAACTAAGTCTTACTTCTGGACGTTTTAGCTCCTCAGTTAAAAAATTCAAAGTATTCCAGCCATCATAGGACCACAGGCCCTGATAGAAAGAAAGTCCAATGGCACTGGCTCCGACATTAGTCCCTTCAAAGAAGTTATCAAAGTTCTGCGTGTTGCCCTTGAAAAGCATGACAGCGCCTCCGATGATGATCACTGCTAATCCCATCAGTTTGACGACCATGGACACCACCTGGACGCCAGTGGCCAGCCGCACACTCATGCAGTTCACCACGGAGAGCAGCAAAATGACTGCCGCAGCCACGGCTTTTACCACAATTTCTGGAGGAGAGCAGCCATAAAACGGAGCCACCACATACTCAGAAACGCTGAGGGCAAGTCCCGTGGCACTGGCCGGCCTCATGACCGCAACGAAGCTGAAGACAAACATGAAGGCCACTAGTTTTCCAAAAGTCCGCAGCATGTAGATGTACTCCCCTCCAGACTCTGTGATCACTGTGCCCAGTTCAGCATAGCAAAGGCCCCCCAGCATGGCTATTAGACCACAGCAAGCCCAGATTACCAGGGCAGCCCCGGGGCTGCCTATGGACAACAGCACATACTGGGGACTTATGAAGATCCCAGATCCTATCATAGTTCCCGCAATGAAAGAAATGGCTCCTATAAGTCCCACTCCCCTCTCCAGATTGAAGGTCTCTTTGTCCTGCTTCATCGTCTGCTTTGGCATAGACGTGTGCATAAAAATCCTCCCAAGTAAATATTGACAGAATTCCTGAGACAATGTATGTATATGAACCAGAGGCAAAACGGCAAAGGGAACCTCCTCCAGGGGCGTAACATGACTAACACAATGTTTACTTGACGTAGCATTAGTGAATATATACAACAGTTACTATATAACTAATATTTTAGTACACACATATTCACAACCAATATGTTCTTAAATATGTAAGATTTATCAACTAATATGTTCTTAAATATGTAAGATTTATAAACATTCAAAAACATATTAGTAAATGTCCCATATTGTGTAATTTAAACATTTTATATATGTATATACATATACATACAATGCATGTATTAAAACATGCTAAATTATTTAAGATTTATAGATAGGATTTGTTTGAATACAGAGGTACTTTAAACTGAATGTCCTTATGTATGGCTGTCAAACACTGAACACAAATGAAACTGAACCTCCAGAGTGTAGCCTCCGTTTAGCTACAGTACTAGGACAAGGACAGAAGCAGCCGGTGGTGAGAGACTGTCTTTTTATCATCTTACCTCTGGACGTTTCAGCTCCTCAGTCACATAGTTAAGATTATTCCAGCCATCGTATGACCACAAGCCTTGATAGAAAGCGATCCCAATTGGATTGATGCCAACATTTGTATTTGCAAATGAGTCTTTAAAGTTCTCATTATGTCCCCTGACGAGCATAACCACTCCTCCTAAGATTATGACCGCCAAGGTTAGAACCTTGGCTACCATAAAGAACACTTGGACTGACATTGAAAAGCGAACGTTGAGGCAGTTCACAGTGGCCAGAGTTATGATCGCAGCTGCAGCCACACACTTCACCACCACCACTGGAGGAGCACAGTCTGAGTAGAAAGGAGCCACAACGTACTGGGCAAAGCTTAAGGCGATGCCTGCAACACCAGCAGGTCTCACAAAAAACACAGAGCTGAAGATCAGCAAGAAGGCCAGAACCGGACCCGAGGTCCTCAGGATGTAGATGTACTCTCCACCTGACTCTCGAATGACGGTGCCCAGCTCTGCGTAGCAAAAGGAGGCCATTATGACCAGTAAGCCGCAGGCCGCCCACACCACAAGGCTAGCTCCCGGGCTACCTATGGTGTAGAGGACCGTCTGGGGAGACATGAAGATCCCAGATCCAATCATTGTCCCACCGATCAGGGACACGGCCCCGGCCAGTCCCACATCTCGCTTAAGGCTCAGCTTCTGCCTCTTGTCCTCCATTTCCTAAACGGTTGACAACCACCTGCCGTCTTACAGCTTTACAACTGCAGAAAAGCCTATAATTCTTTGGCCAAAGTCACTCTTGCAGCAAGAAGGAGAGTTAATAATTACTTGGACAGCTCATATATTTGATTATATATTTGACCGGCTGTTTTTTTTTGGGGATGACTGTTCACTGTGTCATGTCTCTGCATCTGCGTTGGACCTTTATGTCCAAACCATGTCCTCATATCTCTCTTACACACTGAAAAAAAAGATTATTTCATGACAGTTTAACCAATAACAACTGAACTAAACTTACTTCCCAAATGTGAGGCACTGCGGTTTAAATATGACATGTTCTCTGCCCTGTACCATTTCCAGAAAACAAATTCACTGGGCAGGATGAGGTACATTTTACCACAGCCACTGAAAGCACTCTCTAACCATATTGATAAATATATAACCTATACATTTTGTGGCTCAATGTTTCTGGACTTCAAAGAACAAGTGAAAATAAACAATTCCACTTCTTTTAGTGCACAAACCAGTTAAAAGACTTGTGTAAGAATTCTCTTAGAGTTCAAGGACAAGGCTCATTCATTTTAATCCATTACTACAACAACACCGACTTACATGCACTTTAAATTAGTATGTTTGTGTGAATTATCTTTCTTTCATGTAATCCCATACACACTTGACATTTCTGTTTGTCCTGAGCTGATGGACATCTCTCAACTTTGACAGGGAATGATACTTTTTTCATAAATTGCACGATAAATTGCATGTCTTATGATCTGTAACATTAAATGGTTTTCCCAAACCTCACTGTGGTAGATTTGGACTGATCCTCACCCAGTATAAAGCCTTGTATGTAAGTGTTTAACCCAGAAACCTTTTAGCAGAGAAAGCCAAAAAAGTCACATATTCTAAAATGTATTTCCGTGAGCTCCATACAATATTTTTAGTATAAAAATATTACTATTTGAAGTATTAAAAAGTTATTAAAGGTACTTTAAGAAATGCCAGCTAAGATTTATCTGAGAGCCAGATGCATTCATGCAGTCAAAAGACCCATACAGTATCTGATCACATCATAAACTTCATTGACTTCAATGTTTCTATGGAAGCATTTGATTGGTCCACAAAGGTGATGTCTTACTTGAATGCACATCTACTTGAACAAAGTCAAAGCCCTTGTACAAAGTTTGGAATGTTCCATTTTAATGGAACATAACATAATAAAGTAGATTGGAATAGAAAGAGTTGTTATCATCACAGTAAAACACACGAACAACTGAATGTATTTGATACATACATGACATGGAGATTAAATAGCTGCAGCTGTATGGCACAATATGATTCTATATTTGTGTTGTTGCTAATTTAGTCCTAGAGATTTTACCTAAAAAAAACAACATATTTTTGGTTTTTATTTTCATTGCTCTAAATGATGTACCAGCACTCCCCTCTGTGATACTCCAAGTTGCAGTAACAGTACTGGACATAGAAAAGTTGTATCAAGTCATCCCTAGTGAAAACATACTGTACTTGATGTCTTGATGACCGTTCAGTGAACAGAGATGACCCTGGTCTGGAACCTGTGGACTTACTACCTGCTGGACTAACTTCAGACTTCAGGAGGTCTTATCCTCTGCTCCCGTGACAAAGAGGTGAACGCTCTTGTTGGAGTGCAGCATTTGTCCCGCACGCTTTACTCCACAGATGAAAGAAAGTTTGTGTGCGTCGTAGCGGGAATAGAGGGAGGTGCAGGTCCAACTGGCCTCCTCTCCCTGAGACCCTGCTGCGAGCATGTTACACATCTCGCTGTAGAAATGAGGGAAGGAGGGTAACCCGTAGAAGATGAGGTTTTGGATGCCTTTGATAGTGTACCTGAAAAATGGAAATCGGGGATTAGAGGTCAGATAAGATCTCCGGTGGGAATCAGCAGGTAAAGATGGACAGCACAGATGTTAGTTTTTTAAAATAGTATAAACAACAATATTTGAAATAAAGGAGAACTTTACTGATACCACACTGGGGAAGTCGTTGCGTTAAATTCTAAGGATGTGCTGCAACAGGCTGCCCACGGGGGCAGCCTGTTGCTACGGTGTTCAATCTAGACCGCTTGATGACTTTTAAAAGGTATGAATAAACAGACAAACACTTCATGTTCAGGATATTTTTGTAAAATTATTATTTCATCAAATATGAATAAATAATTATAAACAGCTAATAAACCTGTACTTCTCTGCATGAAAACAAAGGGGAAAATCATGGCCTTATTTTTATTTATAATTTATTACGGTGTGATTGGACTGGTCCGGCCCACTTGACATCTAATCAGGTTGCATGCAGCCCCTGAACCAAAATGAGTATGACACCCCTGCACCAGCGGAATTTGGACGTTGGGTTTATAGGCGAACGTGCTAACTGACTGTGTCACAGGGAGCAATAAACTTATTTCTGTGGTGAGAAGTACATGAACTTTTAACAATTCAGCTAATTGAGCTTCAAAGGACTGGAATTGCCACGAGACTCAAAGAAAGTAGAACAAAAAAAGACATATCGTGGCTAACCTCTGAGCTCAGTAAAACCGATAACAGACAGATAACAGTGATAGATTAACAGGTAATAAAGATGAGTAACTCAATTGATCTGATTCTGATTTTACGTCTACCTTGGAGCCCTTGGAGTTTTAAATGAATAATATTCCTGTGACAAATAAACCAGTACGGTACAGTACACATAAACCTATCAGACGTAGAACTGACCTCTTGTAAAAGTGGAAACGTTCAGTGAAAAGCACAAACTGCTTCTGCCCTTTCTGAAAGAAATGTCTGGCCCTGGACACTTCAGATTTGCTGGAGTACTCGCAGATGCTGGCAAAGTTCAGCTCTTTTTTCTTCATGTAGTTGCGCAATCGAACGTAGTCAAAGTAGGAGGGGACGTAGATCAGAGTGTGGGACATCACAGAGTCTCTGTACTGAGGCAGCACATTATCCACAAAGAATTTGAACCTGAGAAAGGAAGAGGGCGAAAAAACAACGCTGTGAGATAATGTCTTCAAAATGTTAAAACTAGAAGGTGAACAGTATCTGGACCCGTCTTTTACCTCGCATCGTGATCCATAAAGCTGTCGGATGAGAACATTTGGAACACATGAGGCAGTTGAACCAGCACTTGACAGATGGAGCCCACGTTTGGCATGTTTTTAGTGGTTATCTGTAACACAAATAAATAAATATATATAAATATAAATAAATAAATATATATATATATATATATATATAAAATACACAATAATAAATGATAACATCATTCTAAATAAGCTGTTAAAAAACACAGACTTTCATGTATTTTACTTTTGGATAAGTACTGAGTAACTGACAATAAAATGTTTTTTTTTATTTTTATGAAAAACTCTAAAGGAGCAGAAGTTCTGTCTGACCTTTAAAGTGTCAGTGTGAAAACCAACAGCCCAAAGCTGAGATCACTGACTGTGTGCTGATCCTGTGATATCACACCTGCCACATAATAACACGTTGAACTATAACACCAGTGCGTAATTCATTCTCTGGTGTAAACATATTATTTTACATTATTATGAGACACACCCTGCAGGAAAAAGCACCTCCAACTTTAAATAACTTAACGAGGCCGTGCATGCATTTGTTTCAACTTCACGTCAGACACTATTGTAGAATGAGGCAGACCAGGACACACTTCTCCGTCTCGGGGGATTTACTGTATTAAAGATTTCTGACTGTGGCAGTTCTAACAACGAATCTCATCTGAACATTCACCAACAAATCACATCACTGAACAGCTAATTAACAGCAACGAGACTGACTCGGATAATGACGAGAGGGATCCGAACATGCTTGAATTTTTCACTGACTGTTTTGTTTCGCTTAATGCGCCTTATAATCCGAAAAATACAGGGAAGTAAATTGCATATAACTCACCACAAAGCTTCTAAATTTTGCAATTAATCATATGACATTATATGAATATCACTAATTCTTTAAAAAAAAAAAAAAAACTATGTAAGAGCCAAAAACAAGCTTAATGTCTGGAATTTGGGAAAAACAGCAAAATGCTGTGGCCGTGGTGATTTAAATCATAGTTATTTGTCCAAAACCCATTCATTAATGACTAACAATGTATCATTGGTTTTATTTTCACAGCTTTTATGTCTTGAGACATTTACCAACCACTGCATCAAGCTTCAGGTCAAATGAGTGAGAACCATGTTCCGTACCTGTCCACGGTAGTTAGCGCAGTGTTTGGTGATTATGTTGTTGATCTGCGGTTCTTGGATGGAGCTGAACACCAGGGTCTGTCTGTAGTGTTTGGCCCAGTTATTCAGGTTAAACATCCTCACCCTGGAGAAGTCGACCCCGTGAGAGTTGAGAGGTTGAAGGTTCATGTGGTTCATCACGTGCTGGAGGTCAACAACAAAAAAACAAACAAACAAAAAAAAAAGCTTAAAAATAGCTGTTGAAACTGTTGTTTACTGCATAATTACATTCAATTCATGAGGAATCACCTTTAGGTAATTCCTCCACCAGGGGTCGCCACAGCAGTATTCTGCAGAATGATTTGGCACGCTGTGCCCACCACTCCTAACTGACTTAGTTTAATTGCGTGTGAATGTTTGTTTATCTGTGTTTGTGGCTCTGGTATTAGAAGACAACCAGCCCAGGGTGTGTTTAACAACAACAGTCAGGTTCCAGTAGAACAATACATGATTATATAAACTGGTTGACGGTTGATGTTGCAGCATGTCACAGTGAGATGCCTTCATGCATTCCTGTACCATCGCCTACAGCACTCTTACCAGAACGTGTTCCCAGTTCTGCATCAGGAAGACGTCGGCCTGGTCCAGCACCAGCACCTCAATGGACGTGAGGAAGTCAAAGTCTCTCTTGCTCTCTCCTTCGGCTCCTAGCACTGTGCGCAGGCCGAGCGGAGATGCGATAATTATGTCAGAGGAATAAAATGGTGCATACAGACGAATACTGCTCCTCACAATGGAGATGCCTGGTGAAGAGAGAGACAACATCGAGGAGGTCACAAAAAGACAAACGTACCATGTCTCGGTTCGTCATGGTTTTTTATTACCTATCCTGAAGTGATCGTCGACATTGCCAGAGAAAATAGCGCGATAATCATCTGGTCGGTGCAGATTGGCTGGCTGGTCGTCGGCCTCTGCTCCAAACTCATCCTTGAACCTCTTCTTGTTGCTGACCACTATCTTCTTGCCTTTGGTCTCCAGGAGACTGATGAACGTTTGGACAACTTGGAGAGCTGTGCCACGGAATGGCACAAGAATTAAGACCTAAAAAATCAGAAATCACAGCAGGAAAATCCTTACTCACCATTTTGAACCAGTGCAGTACAGTTCGTCTGTATACCTAACTGAGGCTATCAGTTCAAAGACATATCATTAAGGGTAGTTGTGCTTACTTATATAGTTATATAAGAACAGGGATAGCCACTGTGGAAGTGAGAAGTGAGAACAAACTAATTCAACTGATATAAATGGTAGCTGCTTACATAAAAAAATGTACACTGAAAAAAAGGTGTTTTCAACTTATTTTAAGCCATAGCACACATTTTACATAAGAGTAATCCCACTCTACCAAGGTCTGGCTAAAATAAGTTAGCCTCGCTAATTTCCCTAAATCACTACCTATTCCCAGAGTTTTAAGATTAGGTTGCATTTCTGCGGTTGAATATTTACCACATAAATGATTTACTTTTGTCTAAAAGGTGAACAAACTCTGTGTTTCAAATACATTCTGATACCGTAGACAGGAGTAGAAGCTAATTAGAATTAGCATGTGATAAACTGCTTCTTCTGTCTTGGTTCTATGCAGTACCGACAGAGATACATCCTGTTAGAGCTTACAAAATGTAACAATCCAGTTGGTTTTTACCTTGGGTCGGGTGAGACCTCGGTCCCTGATTTCATCCTGTGGCTCAGCTCCTGGTTTTGTCTGAATTTTCTGTTCTCGTAGCTCTGCATTGTGAGCCAGGACCCGGGAGTTGGACTTCAATATGTGGTTCAGCACGTGAACACAGTACGCGTTGCGCACCAGAGGAGCTTTGTTCAGAGGACACACCTCCTGGTAGAATAGGTCTTTGTAGGAGCCCATGAGAGCCAGAAGCTCCTGCTGGAGAGGACTGATCTGTTCAGACGTCACACTGGGATTAGAGTTCTGGTTAAGATTCTTCCAACTGGACTCCAAGAGCTTGTGAAAAACAGGGAGGTTTGTGTCTTTCTGAGAGCCAATAGGTCCATACTTGTCCAGGACAGTGGTACAGAGCAGGTTGCCCAATTTTGGCCACTGCAGAGAAAATGTCAAAGATGTAACATTTGGTTTCAATTTAGAATATTGACAGTGAAGTGTATTTATTTAATTAAATACTAATACCATGACAGATGTCTTAGATTTGGTGTGAGACGTGATCTTCTGCACATCTTCTTCACTGAGTTCTGTGTCCAAATGCTGTGAAAAAAGGTCTACAACAGCACAACACACACACACACACACACGTGCTTTCCATTTTACACAGAATTTGATGATTTGTATTTAATGAAGCAATAATGATAAATCTAGGATTTCTCACCTGTGCTCATGTCTTCCTCAGCCATGTTTCCCTCATCTTCATTTTCTCCATCGACGAAGTTTGCTTCGAGACAGAAATGGGATTCGTACTCCTTATCGACAAACTCTTCGTCTGCTTTCTCCTTTTCTTCCACTTTCCTTAGATCTGTCTCTCCTTCATCTTCATCGGCGAGTTCTGCTTCTCCTGTCGCATCTTCTTCCTCACTGTCATCTCTATCGTCCTCACTCTCCTCTGTGATAAAACACAAAGTCTAGTTGTTTTTGTTTACATGTAGTCAAGGCGAGATTCTTCTGAAAATGAAGAACCTACGTTCCACAAGGAGCTCTTCGTCGTCTTCGTCCTCATCCTCATCACTGCTCTGTTCCTCTTCACTGCTAGTGTCTCCTTCATGTCGTCCAATAGCTGAAAGAAGTTTCTGGTAGGCCGTCTTTTGCTGTGGTTCTTCTTCCTCCTCTACTTCCAGAATGTTATGCTCAGAGTCTGACACTTCAGGACTTTCTGTCTGTAGCAGAGGAACGTACACTTGATGATATTAATATCATTTATACACAGACATAGTTACAAATAATCACTTTTCCAAGTACAGTACTCACAAGCTGCACAATTTCAGTTCTTTCTTGTTTTTCTCTGTTGACACAAAAAGTTGAAATAAATTCTTGTTTTACGTGGACTTATTTTTTCAGAGTTGGTTCAAAGACACATTCAGTGCTTTAATGACTGCAACACACTACAAAAACACAATAACAAAAAAATGACCTCTTTAAATGACACTTTTAGCCATCGTTGGATTAATGCATTTATAATGTCCATGCTTTAATAAGGAATATGAAACATGGGCTAATTTAATTACGCTGTATTTTCAATTGACCAATACCGCTGTTAACACTGGGTCTCTATGAGACGTGTCAAAAAATTCAAATAAACTCAATTAAACCTATTATGAACAAAAGTTTAATCTTTAGGGCCATTAGTTTTCAGATACGAGGTTGGACTATGACGTACACATCCATGGCACACGGCTCTAATTCAATGTTGCGCGTTCTCCGTCGTTAACGTTACAGTCTGTATTTTCCTGTCTAAATGACGTAGCACAGAAACAACTCTAATGTAATGTAATGAACAGGGATTTGCTAAAGAAAACTACGTTTTCTAACACTGTTGAAACCTCAACTTTGCACGACCTGACTTTTAATATTAGCTCACTGGCTAAGAACAACTTAGGCGGCTCTTTGTTACGGTACTCACGCATCATGGAATGGGTGTTCTTCTCCAAATTCCTTTAGATGTTTCTTCTGTTTTTTCGACAAACTCGTAAAGAGACTCTTATTCTGCCTTCTTTTACCCATGTTGTTGACACACGTGTTCCGTCCTGCTTCTTCGTTGCTGGATATCCGTCAACGACACTGTCACTCTGCCCTCTAGAGCCCCCGGATGGTATAACACATTGGCAGTAGAACAAGCCATAGGATTTCAATGCCACTAAAGCCCAAAGAAGCTGAGGGCGTTTACTTAACTACCGTATTGTTTTCAATACGTCTTACTTAATAAGTTTTGACACAGTTAGGATTTATATAAAACAATATTATAACATCACATTCTTATCATGGAGCGGAACGTTATGTACTAGCACCACCTGCAGGCTGGGAAAGGATAACTAGGTGCCTTAAAATACCATTACAATGAACCGAACTGCTTATTCCACAGGAGGTAAAACGTGTTCAGGCTCTTTTTTTTTTCCTAAAAAAACGTGTCTTAATAATACCTTGGGTTTTTATCCCAGTTCTCGTGTTGACAGGTGCACAGGTGTAGATCGTAAACTTCAATTCATTTTCAAACATTTTCTTTGGTTGTTCCCCATGGGATTTTCCTTATGATAATTAGACTTTCTTTGTCACAAAGTAATTTATTTAACTTCTATTTTGCTGCCATGAGACTGGTTGAAAATTATCTTTAATTCTAAATGGTCAGAACTGAGATGTTTATAAAACAAAATAATAACAAAGTGTAAGTATGTTTTTTATATCATTTGATACATTGATACTTTTTGCTCACAACAATGTTCATTTTACATAGAAATAAAATTTTTGAAAATATAGAACACTCGGAGGAGTTTTCTCTCTGAATCTTAGCAAATAAGATACAAATGATTTTATAGGGTTAAAACTGTACAATAATTGTTTTTGAAGCAACAGATCCAGGGTTGTGGTGAGGACTTGAATCAATATCAGCAGACATCAGGTGAGAGCTGGCGAGAGCCTGGACACCTGTCCGTCCATCACAGAGACACACATAAAGTCCATTAACTATTCAAACCATTAGCCAACTGATGTTATTTCTTGCATTAAATATTTGTTCCACTGTGACCCATAATAAAAAAATGCATCCTGTTGTAATTTTGTAATTTTTGGGTCTAACAGTAACTGCCACCTTGTGGGCGTCCACACCTAGTGTGTTGATGTAACTAACAAGTAGTGATTAATATTTCATGGACTGTGAGTCAAGAATAGTTCAATGTCAGATGATGGTGCTGATCTCAGCACAGTTTATCTGCCGTGTAAGCGGTGTTCATATGGTACGGAGCTCCTCATCTGTAGTCGGTCTGCCGTGTGAAAACTAACCATGATCAATTATTGATCCTGGTAATATCAATTTACTGTTTGCCCGTTTTAGCTGTTTCCATGGCAGGAGCTCATCTATTCTTAATCGTCTGGGTGTTTTTCTACGCCGGGTATTTTCAGCTCCTCTCACATCTCTGTCAGGATATTATTGTGCGATAATTGTGTCCCACTATGGCTTTGGCTAAGGAGGACGTCTGGCATTTCTGAATGGGACGTAAACATGTGAGACATTCTTTTTGCCTGATGGAGGGGGCAAAAATGAAACAGGAGAAAGGAAAGGCTGTGAGGACAGTAAGGTTTAGAGTGGCGTCCGCCAACAGCGGCCGGGTCCTGACAGAGGTGTTCAAGGATGACACAGCCTGGCGTGGCCCAGTGTCACATTCAGTAGACACAGTGGACCGTACCAGTGCCCAGGAGCCACAAGAAGAGGGTTCACTTCCCGCTAGCAAGGCTAACAGCCACCTCAATGGTTTGGCGGTAGAGACCTCGGAGGACGCCGGTGGCTGTGACCCCGATGACCTGCTTTTATATGCCAGTGCCAAGAGAGAGAAGCTCTTCAGCAACAAACGCATCAACATCTGCAGCAAGAACGGGACCATAAGAGGAGTGAGGAACAAAGTGAGCGCAGGACAAGTGCTTTTCAACAACCTCTCCCACACCTATTCTGTAAGTCCATGCCACTGTGGTTCTGAATGGAGTTGTTGCTACTTCAAAGCTCTGTTTTAGGCTGGGGTCTCAAGGGTTTTTATTATTGTGTCTATTTAAAACTAAGTTTGTTCAGACGTGTTCCGTGTTCTGTTTCTCTTCAAGACTTCGTTTCGTCACCAGAAAAGGAGGCCATGGGAGAAGGAGTAAAGAGTAATCTCAAATACCAGTTATTGGACAATATGGTTATTTGGACAAAGTCTTATTTTTGGAGCTTCAACAACAGTAGTTGGACCAGTCCATACATCCCGTACGGTCCAGAATAGGAGCGTAACTATCCCTTTACAATTTAATATACTTTTGACCACATTCTTTTTAGTATTTTACATATGTGTGCATGGAAACATGTGAAATCTTCTCCTTCTATGTTGTCATCATTAATGTTTTCACCAAAACTAGACCTATGGGTGTAATGACTCTACCTTTTAACAGTTTAATAAATTTTATGGAAACAGTTGTTGGTATGAGTTCATCGCTTCAACATCTCTCTGTTATCACCGTCAAAGCCCTGGTATTCAGTTATGTTCTTGACTCTCCTTCTTACATGGCCGGTTAGCTCAGGTTTTGAGTTTGATCCCCGTATGGGCCAACTAACTTTATGTTGTTAAGTTTGGTAGGTTCGACCCCCGTACGGGTCAACTAACTTTATGTTGTTAAGTTTGGTTCTTGCTTTACATTCAACCGTCTTCTGGTTCTGTGCAGTGGTTAGCACATCTGCCTTACATGGAGAGGGTCCCAGGGTTGAGCCCTACAGGGACCATACAGTATATACGTACCTAATGGTGCCACCCCTGTATTATCCTGTTTTTGTCACCTACTTAGCGCCTCTTGTGGCAGCTTGTGTGAGTTGCAAAGACTTACGCAGCAAATTTCCCCATTATGTGACGAATATCGGACAATTTAAAAAAAAAATCTTGTTTGGGTTATAATGTATTTGTTGGCCAATGTACCTTTCTGTTAATGTGTGTTCAACATGTGGGATGGGATGTGTGTGTGTGTGTGAGAGAGAGAGAGAGAGAGAGAGAGCAACTGCAGAGTGGAGTATCACAGTGTCTGGTTTTTGCAAAGTGGACTCGATTCTCCCCAATGTATTACAATACCATAGAATAATAATAATAATTTGAACATTCTTAATCCCACGCTGGGGGATTGTTTTATTAACTGCAGAGCTGCTTCAACAGGCTGTCCCTTAGAGGCACCAATTATATTATTCCTCTGGTGGTCAAAACCTGGATCTGCGTGGAAGGCAGGTGTACTATCCACTACACTATGGGACCAAATGAAAAGCACCGCCTGAACAGGGACTTGAACCCTGGACCCTCAGATTAAAAGTCTGATGCTCTACCGACTGAGCTACCCAGGCTCTGAGTCCTTGTTGGCTGTCTCTTCTCTTTGCGTTGTTACGGACAACAACCCATTTCTAACGCTAATGCTCTCTACTCTAAGTCTCTACTGTATATGGAAGAAGGATCTCAAACTCAAATAAACTGAGGGCCACTGCTGCCACCGTCAGTTCACTGGAGGGTCCATCTTCAATTCATTTTATATATTCTTCAGATATTTAACGTAATTTAACCTAAAGAAATGGTTCAAGAGAAACTATTTCAAATTGTGCTTGAAGTCACTGAAACAACAGTGACAGAGCAGGTCTTTTTAAATGATTGTTGTTATTTTTATGCTTACAGTAGTTTCAGTTCTGTACACAGAGACAACTCCCACAGCCAATCTTTGCTGCTTATTATTTTGCTTCTTATTTCCTCCATCAGCATCTTTGTGGCTAAACTGCTCTGCCGTCTCTTCTAACCACACACTTCCATTATGCTCCAAGTTCTTACCATACTTCAAGCATTCACTAATGTCCTGACTAATGTCTAAAAACACATCTCATTTCACTCTTTGTTTTATTTCTTTGTGAGTGAAGGCAGCGCGGCAGATTGGTGGTACCCTACAGTACCAGAAAGGAGGAAAACAGAGAGCAGTAATGGTTATAAAATATATAAAAAGGGCAAGTTTCTGGTAGAGGTACGGAGGAGATTCATTTGGTGGATGAATGCACTTGAGATGGAGCTGAGCTTGTGGTGAAGGAAAGAGGGTGAGGCTGAGGCAGTTGGTCAGCGAGGGAACCTGATGGAGCAAGTACAAGTAAAAGAACAAGAAGAGCAAAACAATGACCTCATATTAGGAAGGCCAATACATTTTTGGAGCTTAGTAAATAAGTTGTGGTTTTGTATGCAAGCATGTGTATGTCTTAAAAAATAAGCCCAGTCCAGATGTGTAGAAAAGATGTTGCTGTGTGTAAAAACACTACAACATGATCACATGTATCTGACGGCGCAGCTCCGTGGAACTTTCCCTTTAAGAAGCTCCTGTTCGCATCCTGTCAACCTCCCACCGCGCACCTGCCTCGGTCAGCACCATGGACAGGGACAGCTCTCCGTAGATCATCCTCCTCCACCTCCCTGCTCACACACGGACCGACACACACACACACACTCTCTCTCTCTCTCTCTCACACACACACAC